AACTCCAACTCTCTATCAAGGCGACACCACCCTGAAAATTGTTTATGTGAAGTTCTTCCAGTACCTTTGTTACTTTTAGAGGTACTTGTGGTTTTGAATTTCATTAAGAGCTTAAAGCTCATCCTTTATTTCAATAACAACCAGTATTATTTTAATTAGGATAGGATTATTGTGGATTTTAATAATGCTGCAACTATCCACATATCGAATGATTTGTTTTCACCCTTTGAACCCGTAAATTACCTTTTAAGTAATGACATGTAAAGTTGCTCTCATTGGTGAACCTTTTTAGTTAAGGAGTTTCAACCCCATTCTACTCCAAAATAGATGCTACTAAATCTCTATTTAGATGTTTAGTCAAATGATCCGCCAAATTCTCAAATGACCTTACATAATTTAAGGAAATTATTTCATCATTGATTAATTTCCTTATATAGTCATGTCTAAGACTCATGTGTCTAGACTTTCTGTTGTATACCTCGTTATATGCTTTTGCTAATGTGGCTTAACTATCACACATGATAGGTATTGAAGAAATATTCTTCGATCCCAAAAGTATCTCATAAAAAAGATCCTTAAGCCACTCAACTTTTTTCCCAGTATCCGATAGGGCTACATATTCTGATTCCATAATCGAGTGTGTTATGCATGTTTGTTCCTTTGTTTTCCAAGAAACGGCACATTCTTCAAGAGTGAACACCCAACCCGCAATGGATTTACTCTCACCCGCGCTGGATATCCAACTAGCGTCAATAAATCCTTCCAATACCGTCGGGAATTTAGTATATTGCATGCCCAGGTTCTTGATTTTCTTTAAGTATCCAAGAACTCTTCCTATGGCCTTCCAATGATTATTATTTGGATTGCTAGTAAACTTGCTAAGTTTACTTATGGCATAGGCTATGTCCGGTCTTCTGCATTGAACTGCATAAATAAGACTTCCGATTGCACTAGCATATTCCAATTGAGCAATCGCCATTCCATCATTCTTTACAAGTTTTGAACTTGGATCAACCGGGGTACTATATTCTTTTATGTTCAAGTGTTTGAACTTGTTTATCACATTCTCATATAATGTGATTGACTTAGATGATAACCCACACTAGTCTTTGTGATTTTGATATCTAAAATGATATCCACTTGATCAAGATCCTTCATCTTGAATGTGGAAGAAAGAAACTTATTTGTTTCTTTTATACCGTCCATATGATTACTTATAATCAACATATCGTCAACATACATGCATATAAATGGTACTTAATCATCACATATTTTAGTATATAAACATTTATATACACTATTATGTTTAAATCTGAATGATATAATTGCTAAGTCAAACTTATCATACCATTTCTTAGGTGCCTTCTTCAAACCATATAATGATTTTACTAACTTGCATACTTTACGTTCATTTCCAGGTAGAACGAACCCTTCGGGTTGCTCCATATAGATCTCCTCGTCGAGATCTCCATTTAAGAATGCCGTCTTGACATCCATTTGATAAACATGCAAGTCATATTGAAGCTAATGCAAATAATATCCTAATCGATGTTATTCTAGCTATCGGTGTATAAGTGTCAAAATAGTCGATTCCTTCCTTTTGTTGATATCCTTTGGCTACTAATCTAGCCTTGAAAGTATTTAGAGAACCATCAACATTATATTTTCTTCTAAATACCCATTTACATCCAATAGATTTGGATCCTGGTGGTAAATCGACAAGCTCCCAAGTTTTATTAGACATTATCGAATTCATTTCATTTTTAATTGCATCTTTCCAAAAAATACTATCACGAGAAGCCATAGCTTCTTTATAGGTTTTAGGGTCGGTTTCCACTTGTAGAACAAAAGGAATTGTTCTAACAACATTCAACTCATTTCCTTCTACTAAGTAAAAGGAGATAAGTTGATAATCAATTTCATCCGGTCCCAAGACTTTTCAACTCGAGTTCTTTTGCTTCTTCATGGTTCACTAGACTCATCAATATCTTTAGAAGACATTTCATCACGTGTTCCACTTGAGCTAGGGATACTTTCATGATTTTCCCTCAATTCATTATCCGAAGATAACGAATCTTCAAAAAACTCTACATCGCTTGATTTGATAATCACATTGGTCTCCAAGTTTAACAATCTATAAGATTTGCTATAGTCAGCATATCCAACGAAGGCACATTTTATGCCTCTTGGACCCAATTTGGTTCTATTAGAATTTGTGTTCTTGCAATAAGCAAAACACTCCCACACTTTGAAGTATCCAATATTTTGTTTTTTTCCTTTCTGCAATTCATAAAGAAAAACCTTTGTATATTTAGAAGAAATCCTATTAAGCATCCTACATGCACTTAATAAAGTTTCACCCCATAAATTAAATGGCAATTTAGCATATATAAGCATGACATTAATCATTTCTACTAAGGTTCTATTATTTCTTTTAGCCAAATCATTTTATTTGGGTGTTCTAGGTGCAGAACATTGATGAATTATGTCATATTGTTCACAATATAAATTAAATTCAGTAGAAAAGTATTCACCAATTCTATTACTTCTTAAGGTCTTTATTTTCTTTCCTAAATGATTTTCAACTTTATTTTTATACACATTAAATATGTCAAAAGTTTCATATTTATGTTTCATTAAGTACACATGTATATCTAAAAAATCATCAATAAAAGTAATGAAGTATCTATTTTCACCCTTAGTTAACATGCCATTTAATTCATATATATCTGTATGAATTAATTCCAAGATATTAGAGGTTCTTTTCACACTTTGATATGACTTTTTAGTCATTTTTTATTCTACACATGTTTTGCATTTATGTTCATTATTTTCATCATATGAAATCAAATCACATTTTTTCATACGTTTCATAGTGCTTTTACCAATATGTCCTAATATAGCATGTTATAATGAAAATAGATCAACAACATAAGTGAAATTAGTTTTATTCATTTCCTTGTCAACGGTACAAAATTTGACCATTCCTTCACTAGAATAGCATTTTCCAACAAATTTTCCATTAAAGGAGAGTACAAGTTTATCGGATTCATACACACATTTGATACCCGATTTTCCTAAGAAATTACCACTTACTAAGTTCATAATCATATCTGGAACATATAGTACATTGGTAAGGGTAACGATTTTCCCAGAAGTGAAGATGATATCAACATTTCCCTTTCCAATAACCTTAGATCGAATTTCGTTGCCCATTTGAATCTCTTGGTCTCCATCCACCTCATGATATGTTTTGAATACAGTTTTGTCATATGATACATTCAGGAACCTTTCCCTTGATTGCATTTATTTTTCTTACGGTGGCCAAGATTTTATATTCTTGGACGGAGTTCACTTTGCCCTCGAAGTTGTTTTGTTTTCGGTGTCTACAATCTTTTGCATAATGTTCAGATTTTTCACACACAAAACACCCTCCTCTGATCTTCTTCTTGGATTTGTTAAAGTTTCTCGAAGGCTTCTTTTTGTTGGATTTTGTTGGCGGTTCAGATTTTTCAACAACATTAGCTTTGGAAATTCCCTCAAAGGAGTTTTCACTCTTGTCACGCAATCTGGATTCTTCCTCGATCCGAATATGCTTTTGCAATTGTTCCAAGAAATAATCTTCGGAACTATGCATGATCTTCTTCCGGTATCCTTTCCAAGTCCCTGGGAGTTTAGCAATTATGGCTCCTACTTGAAAGGTCTACGGGATTTCAATCTTTACCGCTTTTAGTTTGTTGACAATGACTTGCAATTCGTGTACTTGGGGAAGAAGAGGGATATTATCAAGGAATTTAAAGTCGAAGTATTTAGAAATTAGAAACTTCTTGGTACCTTCCTCTTCCGCTTTGTACTTACTCTCCAATGATTCCCAGATTTCCTTTGCAGAAGTTGTGTTTGTATATAAGTCATATAAACGGTCCGACAAAGCATTTAGTATGTGACCGCGGCATGTCAATTCATATTCTTATCGTTTCTGTCTTTCAGCCTTGACTGCCACGGTCTCTCCATTTGTAGGTTCCAGTTGTGGAGCCAATTCTGGATCCAAAATATAGAAGATTTTCAATGCAGTAAATAGAAATTTCAACTTGTCTTGCCACTGCATGAAGTTTGTACCATCGAACCGATCAAACCGCACCAAGTCTTGATTCATAAGTTTGATGGTTGCCATTGTAGTCTCGTTCTCCGTTGCAAGAAAATGATGTTTGAGATTGTTGGAAATAATTGAGGGATAGAGAAGAAACAAAAGAGAAAATCACAAGAAAATATAACAATAAGATGAATCAAAACAAAATTTATATAAACAAATGTGAAGGCTCGAACGTGAGATCGCTGTCCTCAAACATTATTTGTCCCTTCTCCGATGTATTCAAGATGCTAAAAGGTATTTCGGCAAATAGTTGATGGATTATAATAAACCTTGTAAAGAATTTCACCAAAGCACAAGATGAAATTCTCCAAAACTTGAATAACACGAGGATATGAATATAAATCTGGATTTGATTTTTTCTTGGAACAAAGCATGAATTGCAACATATTTTTCTTACTTTTTTCCCTCAAACATGGCTCTCCAATAAATAGCCATCGACCAGAAGTACGAAATGGTGCCAATAAATTAAGTGAAAAGTCATCAAGTTCAAATTTGCAACGACAAAAAAGGTCAAAAAATATGTACCATGCGGTCGCACGGACCTTTTTTTTTTTTTTTTATTGTTATTAATTTTGAACAACATAATCACAGCATCAAGCACCGAAGGACAGGCGAATCCAGCCCAATCTTACGGGTTTAAAGATATTGGAGAAAGGTACTAACTACTTAAAGCATGGCTCCCGGGAAAACCAACCAACCACAGACAGGATACCAGTGCAGTCTTTGCACTTTGGCTCGTAAGAATACTGCATTCTCCGTTACAACTTTGGACCAGAATTGGCTTATCTATGCTTCATCGGGTATTCTAACATACAATAGGCTCAAGAATATGTATTATCACTAGAAAAGCTTTCGTCCAAGTTTGAGAGGATCAACTCAAAATCTCAGCACAACTATGCCAATATATACCGTTCAGCATGTATTGTTCACAATCAATTTCTACAGATGCAAAATCTCAAATCGCATTACAAGAAATACAAGCAGTCACAGCAGATAAGCAAGTCTATTACCAAAGTTCTCTTGAACCAACTCCTAAGATAGCAAGGGAGTTTTTAACTATAAGAAAATACGATCTAGAGATGAAGACAGAGAAACTGCTCAACTCTTTCCAAGGAATGGTTTGCTGAACTTGCAATCAAAGTAGTAGCTTTTTGTTCCACACAAGGTATTGAACAAGAATCTCGTATGGGATGGAAAAGCCATCCCAGTTGAACACCTAGTCATGAACAAATATTGAATTCTTGACTTGTATCTTCTTCAGCATGCAATTTCTGCTTCAACTAGAGCTAGCCCACAATGAGCTGAGTCGAGCTGCCAGCTTTGCACTCTTATAGTCCTCTCTGAGCTGAATAAACCTGAGCTTGCAGTTAAGTCAAATATTAACATTTTTTGAAGTGTAATTATTAACCATATTTTCCTAAGCTCAAAAACAATTAGAAAAAAGTTACTTTTTGTTTCCAAAAGTGTACTTTTTTCCTATATTTGAGTTAGTGAAGTTAGTTTGGAAGTATCTCTTAATTACTGGCATTTCGATTAATAGAAATTATAAGTAAACTTTTTAAGCTTAGCCAAACATACTCCAAGTCTCAAAAGTTGTTTCGGTAACTGTACAAGAGAATGCCTCAAATATAATTAATAAATGTTCAGAAAAAAGTAAACAGTTCTCAGAACTTCATAGGGGTACTAAAGATACATGCATAGAATTACTTTGTTTAGTACGAATCTAAAGATGTTTCTTAATTAAATACGTACAACAAAGATATCTTATAGTTCATAATATAAAATGTGAGGCAATTTTAGTCTAACTTTAGCATATAAAAGATCAATAAATACATACGTTTGTGCATCTTTTCGAATACTTGGAGTTCCCTCAAAAAGAGTCGAGAGGCTTTCAGGAGCAACAATGAAGACATTGGCCATGCTGGAGACAAAGGTTATGTCAGTAAGTCAAAAGATAATGTCTTGACAAAATTGTGCTGCGAGAATACTCTTGGGGGCAGGGGGAGATAGGAGGGACACATCTTCAAAATACCATAACTTACATGCCAAGCAACTCGAATTTCTCATCAACCGAAGGAGCATTGAAACTACGAACGAATTCCCCATATTCAGTTATATCACGTTTCAGCCGTAGTCCTCCACTGTAGAAGTCAAACGATGCCTACACATTTACTTTTTTTTTGCATAACCATGCAAACTTGCCAGGCTATTTTTAGAGCTTCGTGGGTGAGTTATCATATGGAACCATCGTAAACAATAATGCACTTAAAAATTGCAATAACAAATGCAGTTACATCCATGTCATCAGTATGGAGATACCATCAACCAGAGAATTTTAGCAATATTACACACTAGACTTCCAAAGTTACAGACCGGCAATTGCATCATATAGCAAGGAATTACCTTGGGTTAAAAGTGAACTTCTGCCAATGATTAAGCAATCCCTTGTGCAAGCGATTTCCCTGTGTGAATATGTTGAATGGTTAAAACTTGAAAATGTAAATGCAAGAATAATAAATCAAACTCTATCTATGTGAGACTTATTTGGTCTAACTAGCATATTGAAGAGTTATTTTACAAAAATTCCTAGTTAGCATAGTGATTGATAGTCTTATAAATACTTTCTTGTTCTCCACATGCGATTATCTATAATTGCGCAAATCAATACCATAATGTGATTTAAAGTCTATTTTACTAAAAAGACAAACATGGTCCACCAAAATGGGACAACATGAGCAATAAAAACTACCAGCAATAGAACTGACATACATTCCAATACAGTCACCACATGTTTTTCAGAAAGGAGTGGGCAAATATCACAAGGATAAGATGTCAATTTGCCAAATTCATCATTTCCGTCATTTAAAAGGGATAAAGGTATGAATTGACACTTGAAAATTCTGTGTCTCACGTTTGTAAATAAATTACATACTAGATTATGAAGACTGTCCTCTGCTAATAGGAGTAAACTAGACACGGCTATTAAGCAAATGCCACCAAAACAAAGCATGGAATCAAGCATGTCAGATGTGATAGTAAATAAGTAACATCATGTATCCTGAAAAATTAGATGCATCGGTAAACAGCGCTATTAACATTTACTGGCATGGTGTGTTCCCAGACTGGATAAATATAGGTAGTAAAATCCATAGAATCAAATAAAACTTATATGATGAAGAAAATAAAATTTCTGTACCAATTCAGTCAGAAATGCTTGTTTGTTAAGACCTTCCAGAGCAGTGAAAGCAGCCTCAAGCACACGGGAAAGGTAGGCCACAACTCTGATCACAAAAAGAAATGCATGAAATTTGGAGATAACATAAAACATACATGCCCATTCATTAGCTTTGTTGCTCATTAGTGCTGACAAAT